ACTGTGGTGGGTCAGTGTTCACTGCTCCCATAATGTGAGGAATCACAGAATAGTTTGAGTGGAAAAAGACTTTTAAAGCCCATCTGGTTCCATGGGCAGGGACACCTTCCACTAGCCCAGATTGCTCCAAGCCATGTCCAACCTGGCCTTGGACACTTGCAGGGATGGGGCAGCCACAGCTTCTCTGGGCAACCTGTACCAGGGCCTCACCACCCTCCCAGGGAAGTGTCAAGTTTTAAGGTCTGTCTGTTCTCCATAGACAAAAGAGACCCTTGGACCAGAGTGGTGGGCAGAGCTGCCTGACAGCTCAGCCAGCCCGTCAGTGTGTGTGCTCAGGGGTCTGCACAGTGGGAGTTATTCAGTCCATGCAAATGTTCTGGAGAGCTGCAAACCCGAGGGGAGGATGGGAGGAAGCAAGGAAATTGGAGGTGTCCAACACTGAAACGGTCTGAGTGGAAACTCAGGTGAAGCTCAAGTCAGGGAAACTTCGGTGTGGAAAAAGCTCTGGCAAGAACCTGAGATATGCTATCCCTTCTTGGCCTTCTAGAGCTGATGTTTTATCACTCTTGAAACATAGTTTGAGAACACTGTGAGGGAAAAGGGGAGGAAGGTTTTTGAAAATCCCTTTTGTCTCCTTTGTTGCTCTAACAAACCTATGGGTCACTATGTCAGTGGGGGGAAACAATTTAGTAGCCTTTAATTGTGTGTTTTCTTCCGTATGATGTTTGAGCTTAACCTGTGCTTTATAAAATACACAGATTTTTAAACCCATAGCAGATTTTTCTAGCTGAAAGCTGAAATTCCTGCTTAGCAGCATGTCTGTCACAGGACTGTGGAAAACCTGGATGTGTCCCTGAGTGGGTGGGAGGCCATGGATTGGATCAGGCATAGAGACAACTTTAAAGCACAGACAGGGAGGAGTTAAAATTCTCTGAGAGGAAAAGGTTTTTCTAAATATTTGAATTAATTTCTCAATGTTTTTTTAAAAAGAGAATACACCAATTTTGGAGATTAGGCCAGAATGTTCTTCAGTTCATATCTTCAAAGTGATAATTGCAGGAATGAGTTCCTGAATTGCAAGAAGTGCTGCTGTTCTGTGATACAGCCTGACAGAAATTAGGCTTTTTTTCCCTAGTCAAAAAATCTATAAATAGCAAATTATCTATTAACAGGTGTCTTGTGAAATTACTCTATGAAGTATCAGAGTCACACAGTGTTAAAAAAAATCAGGATTATGGAGTTCTCAAATAAAATTACTTTGTTTTCCCTGAGCAGATGCAAATCTGCTTCTAAATCCGCTTAATATAATGGAAGCCCTGAATAAACAAAGCTCTGTTTGAATGTTTAAGTATTTCAAAGTCTGTTATACATAGAGCTGAAAGTCTCCATCCAGAATAGAAGCTCTGTGATCTTCAGTCCTGTGCATGGATCCAGTTGTATATATTTGGTTTTGCTAATGGAGAATTAAAATATTACAAATCCATGCTAATGACTGTGAGCCCTATTATAAGTTATTTTTTAGGTTTTTTTTTTTTAATTCCTGGTTGAGATAAAATGCAGTATTTGATCATTTTATTATAACTTCATTCAGGATTTAATTATTCATAAGATCACAACAAAAGGGAATATATTTTACAAATATGACTGTTTAATAGTGTGACTCTTCAGGAGAGCAATCTGATATTGAATCTTTAGTGAGGAACGAGTAACTCACTTTTATTTGCGTTATAAATCATGTAGATTACTGCAATATAGATAAGTAAATTCTGCTCTATTCTTGTGTTCTAGCAAGAGCAACAAATGTATTGCAGTGCTTGGTGGAGTTTCCACCAAGGGAGTGAATTAAAATGATGTTAAAGAAGTATTTTATAGCAATGTTTTGTAATTACCTGGCGCTGGGTGTATTTCCTGCCAGTTTAGCTGATCAGATCAATGCTCTGGTGTCACAGAGCAGCTCTGACCCCTGAGACAGCTCTCAGGGCTCAGGAACATTTACCATTGTTGATGTGCTGTGTGAAGGGAAGGCATTGCATGGGCTGCAGGCCGGCTGGTGTTTGTTCTGGTGCCCTGGGCTGGGAGGGGACTGGGGCAGTGTAGGGGGACAGGAATGGCTTTGGTCCCCAAACCCCCTCAGCTGGGCCCCACGGGGGGAGAGCAAAGTGGCTTCAAATCGGGGCTGGGTTGTTTCTCCCCAGAGAGAACAAATAAAATTCACAGTAGGGTGAAGTGCACCCTCCTGCCCGCTTGCTCCTAATTGTTTTCAGTGTGTGAGTGAGGGGTCAGGGTGGAGATGAAGCTCTGTGTGCCAGGATCTCTCTGCAGCCCTTGCAGATTTTCCCACAGCATTCCCTGGCAGTAACACCCCTCCCCTGCTCTTTGGTACCCCGGGCAGTGACACAGCTGGAGTTTGTGGGCACAAAAAGGTTGATTTTCGTCCTGGAAGCCCAACTCTCCTTCTTAGTGACAAGTACCAAACTGTGACTGTGTTTTTGGGGTTCCTGTTTATTGATGCACCAACAAAACCCAGGGAAGGGCGAGGGCTGAGGGGGGCACAGGGGGTGAAAGGGGTGTTTGGGCACTGGTGGCTGCAGCTGTGTCTTGTCACTGGGTAACCTCCTCCCCTCACCCATCCATCCCAGTCACTGATGGGGAAGGCATTTTTACACAGACTGTTTTCTCTTAGATATAGTTCCTTAAAGTTGTTTTCTTGTGAGCATTTGACGATCACAAACGTTGTATTTTGTATGGCTTTCTTTTTCCTAGCTGCTTTTTGTAAAGCAAGCCACACTGGGGAGACCTTTTTGGTTTCCAAAATCTAATATTTTCCCCTAAATTAACAGTTGAAAGTGCAAAGGAATAGCCTTCTGCTGGGGAGGTTTGTATTATTTAGGGTGGGGGAGAGCTTGGAGCAACCTGGTCTAGTGGGATGTGTCCCTTCCCATGGCAGGGGGTTGGAAGGAGAGGAGATATAGCATTGCTTCCAACACAAACCATTTGTGTAAGTGCCAATATTTTTTAACATTGCAGACAGCACTTCACTTAAACTTCTTACTCTTGCTACCTAATGACTGCTTAGCTTTACAACACACTATAAAAAGTGCTCCTACTGTTGTTTGAAACACAGAATAACTGTTTTAAGTGCGTGGCCCACTGTGGTCCCTTCCAGCCTTCCCCACTCTGCTGTTCTGTGGCAGCAGAAATGTTTGGTAACTTCGGTTGTCTGTGTTTTTCTGAATTGTGCAGTGTGGAGGCCCAGCTGTTTTGAGATGCAGCCATTTCTAAAAATACCTCACTTATGTGTTACAATTTTGCAAGGAAATATTTGACTTGGTACCATGTACCAAATGCAGACAAAAGTAAGGATTCAGTGAACTTTTTCATCAAACCAGACGTGTTGGAGGAGCTGCCCTGCAATGCTGCTGTTAACACACAGGAGGAGAAGGTTTGGGTCTGGCTTCACATGGGGTGACTGCAGAGTCCTCCTGCCAACCTGAATGCAGTTCCCTGACAGATCAAAACTGTGCAAGGCCAGACCAGCAGAGCTTGGCTCCCAGTTGTTTTGTTGCTAAGTCTTGTCAGGAGAGCACTGCACCTTCAGCAGGGCCCTTTGCAGCAGGGGCATTTTTCCTAAAATCCTTGCAGAGAAAGTGGTTCCACCCTCCTGCTGCAAGCAGAAGTGATTTAGATCGATCAGAAGTGATGGATGTAAAAACTGGCTATAGGTTCTTGAAAAGACATAGTTCTGCAGTGTGGAGTGCTGGGCCGTGGGCAAGGAGAGCTCAGCTCTGGGGCTGCCCAAGGTCCATTGCACCCACACGTCTCCATCAACTTGGGACTGGTTTTCTTTTCTTCCTTCTCATTGGTAACACCAAACCATGCCAGAGACTGGCCTGGAAATATGACTAAAAGGCACAAAATGTTCCTTATATCCATGTAAATGGCTTTAAGAAGAACTGGAGCACTTCCAGTGGGCCAAGGGAGAAAGCAGGTGCTGTTCCAGCTCGGCACAGGGCCATGGGCTCTGGAGAGCCTGATAGACCATCTTTGTTGTGTGCATTGACATGTAGATCCAAATCACAGCCCCCAAGCACTTGTAATGCACCTCATGTCCCTCTAAAAGGCATCTCTGAATCATTTTCTCTCCTGGTACCTGTGTGACTGCTCCCAGAGCAGGAGCAGTTGCAGGAGGGATGTTCCCAATACCCCAGCACGGTGCCCTATGGAGCAGGATCCTGGCACTGGCATCTCCTCAGCTGGTTTGTGGCAGTGCCTGGTGTTTGCACCCCAGAGCATGGCAAGTGTCCCTCCATGAAGCAAACTGCTGTCCAGGCTCCAAAACTCACTGTTCCTGCCCAGTGTGATGTGCCCTAGTCTGTTCCATACAGCAGGGATGTAGGATATTGCAAATTAAGTCATATTTCACTGTAACCTGCAAATTTACATCTTAGCTGGAAGTCCACAAGGAAAAATGTGAAAACTAGTACAGCAATTCTGCACATCCATCTCCTTCACTGCATCCTGGTGCCAGTGTTTTACAGGAGCTCATTAGCAGAGGCAGAGTTATGTCCTCAAACCCTTTTCATTATGGTTTTAAACCAGCTGAACCCTCCAGGGCTGGGACACTGTCAGCTAATCCAGCCTGTGATATAGTGAGGGCACTGTTACACCTTGGTAACCAAGCATGATTTTTCACAGGTTTTTTTGTTCAGAGATGTCAAATGTGGAGTTTTCTTTAAACCAGTTATGTCTTTTATTGTATTTAAAACTCTAATTTCCTTCTGCTGTTCCTTCCTGAAGGGCATCACCAGGTGATCAGTTATATCAAGATGCTTCAGGTATCAGTTGCCTGTTTCTTTTTTTGCATTTAACCAAATGAAATGTGGAAATAAAGGAAAATAAAAGGCCAAACTATTGCAATTTTAAAGATCTCCTCAGTTAAGGAAACAGAGCTAAACCCAATCCATTCCATATAAAAAATTCTGGGTGTATGTTTTACACAGGTTCCACGAAGGAATTGATTGAGAGCTGCTGTGGAGCTGGACAACAGTGGGCCATAGACAATGGGGAGTGCACAGAAATCCCTGTGAGTGGAATGGATGGTGACATTTGCAGGTATGTGAGGCAACCCCCAACATTTTTGGGTTAAAATAAAGAACAGTCCTTTAGGAGAAATCAAATATAATTCGTGGGATGTCCAGGAGGCTGAGAACGGTTTCATCCATGGTCTGATTTGTTGGTAGACTGGCAATATGTCATGGCAAATTAGAAAGAAGGATTTCCCCCTCCATTTCCCTAAAATCTATTCTAAACAAAGCCTGTTAAGATTTTTTCCTCTCTTATGTGAGCAGAGGAAATTTTTTTCCCATTCTCAGCACATTTGTGGAGTTGCAGATAAATAGAAGGGCAGAGCTTGGCTTCCCTTTGGCAAGTGCTAAATGCAGCGATCAGTTGTTAATTGTGTCATGAAATGGTGTGTTTATTGCCCAGGGTGAATGGCCCCTGGTTGTGGTGCCTGTGTTCAGCTGGAGGGGGGATCTTGCACCCTGATAATGCTTCCAGTGGCTCCTGCACAGCAGGAGAAGGAGAGTGGGTGCAGAGTAACATGGATTCAATATTCCACTGGCTGCAGTTCATCCAATTCCCTTCCCCCTAGTCTGAAACAGGCCTTAGGGAGGGATGAAGGCAAAGTTACTCCAGACTCAGATTCTCAAGGAGTGATCCCACCATTTACAGCATTGAAAAGGTTTGGCATAATCACTTTTATCAAATTTTGCATCATTACACCTTTCTGAAGTCACTGGGAGATGAAAATCCTCCCCACTGGGGTCTGGCATGACATAACTGACACATACCAACTGTCTGTGAAGTCAAGACAGATTAAAAAATTCCAGCCTTGGCCTAAGTAGGTGCAAATCCAATACATTAATGAGTTGCACCTGCACATCTGAGGCTGTGTTTAGATGAAAAAGCCAGATCCTAAATGTTTCGGTCCCTGTGAATCTATTGGGATTTAAAGGAATAAGAGATCAGGGGTTCAGCTGTTTTACTTCTAAAATTTCATTTGTGTCCCTGTTTTAAAGATTTAAACCCACCTATAAATGTTACGTCTAAAGAAAATATTTAATGTAAAAAATATTCAAATATGTGGCCTCAGAACCTTGACAGCAAGGACAAAAACTTGGTGCTGCCACTGGGAGATGTGCCAGTGTGCAGGGCTGGTGACCCTGCACTGATCCAGCCCCAAGGCACCATCTGGGTGCTGGAAGAAAGGCAGGCTCCCAAGAGTCTGCCTCTGACTCAACTCAGTATCTAAAGATGGTAAAAAGTAAAGTCATGGAATCCCAGACTGGTTTGGGTTGGAAGGGTCCTTAAAGCTTCATTCCACCCCCTGCCATGGGCAGGGACACCTTCCTCTAGACCAGATTGCTCCAAGCCCTGTCCAGCCTGGCCTTGAACACTTCCAGGGATGGGGACAGAAGATAGATACGAATTTCAAAAATTAGCTCCTGTTCTGCCAGGATAGTTTTCCATAAATATTTGGGTTTAAAAGTGACAATCACCATGACAAAGGGTTGATGTTCTCGGCTGAGGCAAACAAGTCACAGAATCCCAGAATATGCTGAGTTGGAAGGGACCCACAAGGATCATCCAGTCCAACCCCTGGCCCTGCACAGGCCCATCCCCAAGAGTCACCCCCTGTGCCCCAGAGGATCAGCCAAACCCTCCTGCAGCTCTGGCAGCCTTGGGGCTGTGCCCACTGCCCTGGGGAGCCTGGGCAGTGCCCAACCAGCCTCTGGGGGAAGAACCTTTGGCTGAGATCCAACCTGAGCCTGCCCTGACACAGCTCCAGCCATTCCCTTCAGTCTTGTCACTGGTCCCCACAGAGAAGTGAAGCCTCCCCTGTGTCTGCTGTAAGTTGTTCATATGGAGGTTGCAGACTGAGGTTTTTTCCAAGTGCCCTCTTGGGATGTTCAGGTGGCAAAAAACTTCAGTGTTAAAGCTGCTTGTTGATGTATCTTGATGTCTCTGGACATTCATGTCCCAACTTGGCTCATCTCTGTTTAGAGACCACAACATGGGCTGCAGGATTGACACTGGGACTGCCTAAATGAGATCATGGGCAATAACTTGATGACTGAACTTAAACTAAAGCAAGAACAGGAAATCTTAAGATAATCAATTGATAGTCAGATGTAAAAATACTCCCAGAGCTTGTACTCCCAGGCTGTGTCAGAAATAGGATGTTAGGCTTGATGAAATCTCATCTGACCCAGCATAGTAATTTTTATCTTATAATTGTTATGTTTTATCATAACAGAGCAATGTTTATCTGAGTGGCTTTTGCATCAGCTGTCCCAGCACAGATCCTGCTTTTTGCTGACACCATGTCCCAGTTAGAGACTCACAGCAGTTTAAAACATTCACTGATCTTAACTCATTAACTCTTTCCTGAAGCAGAAATGGTCTGAAGCTTCTTTGAACCACAAACTTACTTATCTACTCTGCAAAGAGTAGGTTTGTAAAGAAGATAAAAGCCAAGAGAATGTGGTTAATGCTGTTCCCAGTTCATTTTCTGGGGTTAGAGGAGCTGAAACTGAGTTGTGCTGATAGGTAGAAAATACTAAAATGAGGCTAATGACACAACAATGCCCCAGGAATTTCTCATGGCTAAATGTCACATTTCAGAGAACATGAATCTATAGAGATTTCAGTGTTTAAATACAGTAAATACTTTGAGCATATAAAAATGCTTCTAACAGCATTTTGTCATTTCTACAGACAATAACTTTTGATTGGTTTTGGTGGTCTTTTTTTTTAAAATTGTAATGAAAGTTTGGATGTCTTCTGTAAGAAATAATAGTTATATTACTGATACCTGAATACATTTGGGTAGTAATAATTCATTGCTCAAAAATTTTTATTTCTCCAGTTGGCAATTAATCCTGAAGATCTTTTCTAACCTAAATGATGCTACAGAGTAAAGCCAAAGGCACTACGGGATTTATCTGCCCTTCTATATATGTATGAAGGAGGCACATCCCTCTTTGAATGAGAGGCATCCACTATAGACTTAAAAATAGTAGGGAAGAGTATTTTAGTATTTCAATGAATATCTATTAAAATCCATTTAGGAATTTGACATTTAGATTTTTCATCATGTCAGCCTTCACTGAATCTTGTTAAAACGTTTGATTTGAAGCACCATGTCTAGGAAATGTACCTTCCCAAAGTATTTCATATACAGTGATCTAGTCACCCATAACCTTCTCTTTGATAACCAAAGTTAGTTCTGGGTTACACTCTGTGGTGGTATAAAGGAGAGTTCATAGATGTGTTGTGATGTGATGCTTTCCTCCAGCCCTGTCCAGCGCTTCAGCCCTCTGGCTGGTGAAGGAGGAAGTGTGTACAGGTGTGTTTCCCTTTCCCCACTGTACATGGAACAAGATTTCTGTCTGGTTTTTGATTTCTGAAACCTTCCAAAATACTTCTGAGAAACAAAACATGGGGAAGAGGGACTGTCACACAAACAATGATGAGTTGTTGAGGGATATTGGTGACCAGACTTTG